CAAGCAGATCACCGCCTCCTCATTGCCTCGGTTGAACCCCACAACTCAAGGGCTACCAGTTGCCAGCAAGCCCCAACCACACTACCCATGAGCACAGGAAATGAAGGGGAGAAAATCTGGGCTGGAGGTGGACAGAGAGAGACCACCAGCATTCCCAGCATGCCAAGGCTTGTGGGGACACTGGGCCTGCAGCGTTCCACCTCCAGCCGCTCTGCAGCATGGCTGGATGGGGAGGGCAGACAAGTACCCCCTTTTGCAAACTTTTTTTTTCTTTTTCCTTTTAATATGTGGCCCAGGAAAGCCAGAAAGAAATAACACCAATATTTCTGCCTTATCACATCTTCCAGCTTTATGCTGGGTAAGATTACCACAAGCATCAGCCTAACAGCCACCATCGGGCACAGCATGGTGCAAAGCTTCAGAGAAATGCAAAGTCTGTGCTGCCAGCCACCATTACACCCCATCGGCAACGGATCCCCAAAACCTCCTGAGTGCACAGAAAGGTGATATTTATCCCAGTACAAACAGTTCCAGAAGGCAGCCATAGCCTTACTCAACCTCAATGTATGTTTTGCATGATCGCTGCCTCCAAAAGCAGCAGGCATAAAGATCCAGGCGAGAGGCTGCAGCACACAGGGAGGCTTCTGCGGAGCGGCGAAACGAGTCGGTGCCATCTACCGGCTGCAGGGACCCTGACACTTCCAAGTTCACCGCATCCAGCCTCAAAAATTCAGTAATAAGAACCAGCCTCTTACACGTCTTCTCCCACGACACAACCATAACGCTTCCAGCATCCTTCCGCAACGCCGTAACCAACAGCACCATCTCAAATGCAAATTCCTGCTAGAGGTTAAGGGCCCAGCTCGGAGCCCTTCGGCACAACCGCGGCTCCAGACACGTCCATCTCAAACCACGTCGCCAGCTGCCAGGGACCCGCGGCCGGCCAACCCCGGGCTACAGCTCAGCGTTTCACAGCCCTACCCCTTCCTACCACCTACCCTCAGCTATCCCTGACAAAATCATAAATAGTTGTGATGCACGATGGCTACGGCAACCCTTGGGCTGGCCCGGATCTGCGCTGAGGAAGAGCTGTAGAAATGCCAAGGACTGCTGGCATCGCCGAGGGACAGCACGGCTTCGTCGGCTTCTAGCACAGCAGTCACTAAGCAGCACTGCTCCGAGGGTACCGGGAGGGGTCCAAGCCCGGGGGA